AGATGCATGGTTCATAGATTTAATCTATGCAATGCAATGCAAATTAATTAATGATTACATCACTTCACTATCAATCTGATTCTTCTGTCTGAATTTATGTAACTGACGGTTATTCCAAGAAAAAATAGAATTATCTTCTGGACTTCATGCCTACAATTATAGATGCCATCATCCCTGAAACCAGCATCCATGTATAAAAACCAAATGCATGACATGATCTCAACTTCACAAATCAACCTTCATATCTTCATGGAGCAACATTTTCCTCTTTTCCCAATCTTTTTAACCTTCCTTCTCTTTATCTTCATGGTATTGAGAATAAGGAAGAACTCAAAAACCAACAACTTGACTCCAAATCTACCTCCAGGACCATGGAAGTTACCCCTCCTCGGAAACATTCACCAGGTAGCTGGCCCTCTAATCCATCATCGCTTTACAGACTTGGTCAAGAAGTATGGACCAGTGATGCAAGTGTTTCTTGGAGAAGTTTGTTTTGTTATTATTTCTTCGCGAGATACAGCGAAAGAGGTGATGAAAACCAATGAAGAAATCTTCGTTGACAGACCTGATGGTGTCATCCCAAGAGTCGTGTTTTACGCGGTAAGGCCATCTCTTTTACACCATATGGAGAATATTGGAAGCATTTACGGAAAGTTTGCTCATCCAAGCTGCTTAGTCCACAACGTGTACGGTCATTCAGATCAACCATGGAAGAAGAGGTATCGGATTTTATTACATTGGTTTCTTCAAAAGAAGGATCACCAATCAACCTTAGTAAAATGCTTTCCACATTAACGTTTGGATTAATTACAAGAGTAATCATGGGTAAGAAAGGCAAAAACCAAGCACTGCTTTCAAGTATAGAAGAATGGAAACAAGGAGGAGCAGGCTTTGATGTTGCAGATATATTCCCTTCTTTTAAATTGTTTCACTCCCTCGGCTGGGCAAGGTCTCAATTCATAAGACAGCATCAGGAGATATGTGAGATGCTTGACACCATTATAAATGAACGCAGAGCCAGCAAAATCAGGACAAATACCAGTGAGAATGAAGTAGAAGAGGATTTTCTAGATGTTCTTGTGAATATGCAACACTTTGCAAATTCTGAATTCACAAATGACAATATCAAAGCAATTCTTCTGGTTAATATGCTCTCTCTCTCTCTCTCTCTCTCTCTGTAATATAGACTTATGTGTTTGTCTAAAGTATATAGGAAAACATGTTTAGTTCTTTTAATCAAGTTAACTATCCTATCTAAGGATTTGTTTTTGGCTGGGAGTGTCTCATCAGCAGCAGTTTTGGAATGGGCAATGTCAGAAATGCTAAAGAATCCAAGACAAGTGGAAAGGGCACAAAAAGAAGTGAGGGGAGTTTTTACCAAAATGGGAAATGCTTACGGAACAAGCCTTCCTGAACTAAAATATTTACAGCTAATTGTCAAAGAAACTACCAGACTCCATCCTCCTGCACCATTGATTCTAAGAGCATGCAAGGAAGGATGCAAGATTAATGAACATGACATAACTGGAAACAGTAATGTAATGATCAACGCATGGGCAATTGGAAGGGATCCTACTTATTGGAATGAGGCTGAGAAGTTCAACCCAGAGAGATTCCTAGATTCTTCAATCGATTACATGGGCAATAATTTTGAATTCATCCCATTTGGCGCTGGGAAGAGGAAATGTCCTGGGATGACATTTGGTTTGGCTATAGTAGAGTTGACGCTTGCAAAGCTATTGTACCATTTTGATTGGGAACTTTGCGATGGAATAAAGAATGAAGACCTTGACATGACAGAGGATGTTGCACTTGGCAGTATTGTTAAAAGAAAACATGAGCTTAATCTGATTCCCATCTCATACCATCCTTCATCTGCGGAATGAACACAGTTTTATGCTTCAGTCATGTGTGAATGAAGAAAGTCTTAGAAATCAGTTTCATACAAAAATCTGTTCCAGAATAAATTCTAGTTCAACAAGATCTAAACCTATTTCCTTCCATTTGTCATGTTCTTGTGATTATATGCATAAATGAATATATAGGCAATACTTTTAATGTTCATGAAAAACATTTATATTCCAATTGCTGTGATCACTCTATAGTACTAATTGTGCTACATTAGATTATCAACCAATAAAGTCTTATGGAGTTTCATACCAAAAACTTCTGATCATTTCTAATTGTTCTAGAGTGTAAATCTAGAGTTAATTATAAATTAGTACTTCTATTTTTGAGAAACGAATGAATTAATTAATTCTCCTTGTTCAAAAAATTAGTTATTTAGTTCTTATACTTTTAAGTTTTTTTATAACATAATCCTTTTCATTATTTATTTATTTATTTTAATTTTTTGTTTTAAGATATAAAAAAATAAATAAATAATATAGAAGGATTGATGAGAAAATGTAACATTATAAAATAAGTTAATAGTAAATTAATATTTTGATCACAACTAATTAAGAGATTAAACAATTAGTTTTTGAAAAAAAAATTAATTAATTCGTTTTTCAAAAATAAAGGGACTAACTTATAATTTACTCTATGGATCTACCTTTCATCTTTCATTAGCTTTGAGATTATACATATACAAATATATATTATTCATGACCAGAATATATTTTCAAACCTAATGCTTCTCAATTTAGGTTAAATGATCCTTATACATCATGAACTTTTCAGTCAAGTCAATTTGAGATAACCCTTAATTTAAAAAAAAAAAAAATTAATTTGACTACAATGAACTTTTCTCCTTTTTTTTTTTTTTTGGGTATGTAATAGGTCTTTTTGTCTAGCGTTTCAACATTAACCGCACATAAAGATCATATAATAGTCTTAAAAAGTAATATATGTCTTGCTAATTTAAATTTAAAACATAACACGAGTATAGAAATATCGGTTAGCAAATACGTCATTCTTTAAAATTGTTACGTGACTTTCATGTGCAGTCAATTGTTAAAAAAATGAATAAAAAGACTTATTATTTACCAACCAATAATCCATGATAGTTAAATTAAAATTTTTAACGATTAAGAATCTAACTCAATTTAACAAAAAATTCAGGATGCTTTTTTTGGATCATTTAGCCTGCAAAATTATGGTGCTAAAATCGGGGTTACCTCCGTTTAGATGACTCCAAAGGTTAGATAGAGTTGATATGTACGATGGAGACAACTGTTCTTCTAAGCTTTGCTAGTCTTCATTCCAGTACCAGTTATAAGCCACGTTGTATTCACAGTGGAGGTAGCAAAGCTGCTTGTAGGCCGTGATGAGAGGCTTTGGTTAAGCCGTTTGGAAGTTTGATGTGGGTCTAAAACATGGGTCGTTTTCTTACACATTTTTCTAAAATGGGTCTTAAACATTATACTGTTAGTAAGGTTTTAATTTTTTCACACCTCTACCAACTCTTAAATCATTGGCAAGTAGATATTTGATTTATAGTAATGCTGGGGGAATAAATTTCTCACAAATTCTTTGGATAAATTTTATAATACTCAAAAAGTAATTAATGGTATATATGATAGTTTATGAAATAACTAGTGGTATGTACGATAGTAGCAATGCGAGAGAAAATTAAAAAAAAAATTAAACGAATGTAGACGTTTTTTTATCACTTTTGATGGATCTAGATGTAAGTCTCTCTCCTTTTTTGTGTCTCTCTCCTCAAAATGAGTCTATGAAGTAACAAATGTACATATCATTAATTACTTCTTAAGTATTATAAAATTTTTAAATTCTTAATACTTGATGTATGATATTTGTGATAGGGAAATTTATGGAATGCGACTATTATTATATTTAATGATATAATCACAATTATATGATGAAATAACTAATAAGAAAGGAAGACTGACTTGATTTTAACCGACTATGGATCCAAATGCAATTGTTTTCGTAACACAGCCACGGCAATTGGATTCACACCTTTTACCTTAGAATTTCTTTGGCCGGCAATTCCATGATAAGTGACATAGATAGTCATTACTTGGTTTTTGCAGTAGAGAACTCCAATCCAATCATCTGCAGATGGTTCGGGGGGGAACATCCATCATTACCAATTGATCATCCTCAGCTGCAATTATACAAATAAAAACAAATGTCATAAGAAATACTAGGACTGAAAGCTGGGATTATGACAACCAAAGGAGCTACAAGATAGAAAAAAGTGAAACTGAACTTGCAATGGTAAAATGTTTTCTGAAAGCATAATTTTCATGTGAATAGTAATTGTACTTTCAGGCTCACACACTTAATTTACTTTTGTTTTCTTCTATGCTCAGAATTTGCAAACATGATCCATGCAGGCAGGGATCATTAATTCGCATCAAATTCACATACGCAATCTACAATATTGTCAATAAGAAGCACCTCACTTAATCTCATGAATTTCCTTCAGCAGTGGATATGTTTTGTTTTGGCATTAGCAAAACTTAGGGAATTCGATGCCACCACCAGTTTTTGTTTTGTTTGAAAGAGATCAAGCATAGAATAAGTTAGACAGCGTCAATTACTAGGACAGTAAGAGTGGCAGTACAATATATCATGAAAAAGTTATATTAATACATTCACCAAAAATATATTCCTAAAAAGGTTGAGAGTAGGAAGCAGGATAAAGATAGCAAAAGGAGTCGCAAAATCTCATTTGACAGCCAGCCTGAAGATAATGCCATAACAAGAAACCTGCATGTTAAAAAACCCAAACAGTTTCGCCTGATAAAACATGTAGTCTACATAAATCACGAAATACAAATATGACCAACAAGTTCAAAACAAGGGAAAGGCATCCAGTCCCCTTCACACTATCCTGATCTTCAAATCAAAATCACAAAACAACAACAGAAAAGCAATGGCAATTTAAGAAATTCCATTTGCTTGCGAGAAAGACTTTGTTTCATTACATAAACTCTTGTAAATAATCAATGCCAACCTACACAAGGGTCACCGACACTTTAGAATGGGACTGCAAATGGAGCAACAAAACACCCAACAGGATTGTAACTTCAAGGAACTGCAGGTTTGCTATTGTAGGTCTCTCTTGCTTCAAGCACATCAGGACAGTACCGGCCAATGAGAACGTCAACATGATCAGCAAATGATTTGTTCCGATGGTCACCAAGGTGTTTGACCATTTGGTTCCATCGCTTCCGACATAGATCTCCAGACCTGTGCTCTAGAAGATTGTCCCACTCAACATCTTCCATGCAGCAAGCATCCAAGTCATAGAGCTCCATTAGCAGCCGATAGTCGTCTGTATCAAGCCATTTACCTTCAGATACCATAGGTGATGTTAATTGGTCATACCATTTTTGGCAGCAGAGAGCATCAGTCCTAGTTCCCAACTTCTCGCTAATTGCTGTCCAACTAATATTATCTCGTAACATCCCATGCTTTGTTTTCCTTTCTTCAAAAGCTTTCAAGCGTAGATCCAAATTCACTAAATCAAATAAACACTGGTACTCGTCTTGGGACCATTTCCCTTTCTTCATATTGACCAGTTTTATTCTACGCCACGTATCCTTTACATGAAACCTATGTTTTCCCAGGGCTTCTGCCAACGTCTTCCAATCTGATCCGTGTTTTTCATGAAACTTTCGGATGAGTTCATACTCTTCTGGGGTCCAAGAAGAATTCTGGTCCCTTTCAAACAGTATATGGGCTCGATAATATACACTTTCACGAGGCCTCCAAGGTAAGCTTGCAGCTATCTCCTTCCAACAATGTGTAATCGCAGGGTGCTTTTTACAATTCAGCACCATGTTTAGACCTTCTGCACCTAAATCATGAGCATCAATATAGTTTAAAACAGCTTGTTTAACCATCTCATCCTCCTCAAATGAGAACCGCTTCCCTCGCACTAAGCTGTCTTCCCCAACAGCCTTCTCATCACTAGGGCCATCGGATGAAGGGAAAACCTCTACATCTTCACAAAAACTCACTCTCTTAGATGTCAACTTTGATGAAGCTTTTTCTGATGGACTGGTGGTCTCGACATCTTTCTCCATCGGTGTTACTCTTTCGCTACTTTTTTCCTTCGAACCATTTTCCAAAGACTTGGCCTTCTTCTTCCTTCTGTTTCCACCTTCTTCAGCATTAATCTTTAGTGTTCCATCTCTTGCCTTATTTTTAATCGAACTTGTGTTACCCACATCACTTTCTGTTACACTGCTTTTATTATCCGTTGTCCCAGCCATGATTTGCATTGATGCACCCTCTAGAACAATGTTGTGCTTTTCCTTCCTTTTCTTCTTCTTCTTCTTCTTCTTTGAAGACTCTACCTTGTCCTGCACAATTTCAGTCGACTCCTCTTTTCCAACATCTTTCACATCAGCTGTACTTTTAATTACCTCAGTATCACCACCACCACCATCATACTGCCTCTGTTTCTTCTTCTTTTCCTTCTTGCGATCCTGTCTTTCCCCATTATTCATGTTAGCAATATCTTCACTCTGAAGGCCTTTCTGTATCTCAAACACCTCTTCCCTTCTGTTATCGTCAAGGATGTTAGCCACAGAGGAACTAGTGTTTTTTTTATCTTCTCTGTTTTTCTTCTTTTGATTCTTTTTCCTATCTCTTCTCACTTCTGACTCAGAATTGCTGACAAATTCCACTTGAACATTCTTTTGAAAGCCCATATTATCCTCTATTCTCATGTGGGTCTCCTCCAAAACCTCTCTAACTTCACTCACCTTATTTTTCTTCCCAGCCACTTGAGATTTTTTCTCATCATTAACATGCTCCAACTTTCTCTTCTTCTCCTTCTTCTCACTCTTATCTGCTGCATTATTCACATCTGCATTACCCTCACTAAGACAAGAACTTACTACAACATCCTCATTACTAGCCTCATGCCCCTCACTCTTCTTTTTCTTCTTCTTCTTCTTCCTCTCATTCTTGTCTGCTGCATTATTCACATCTACATTACCCTCACTTAGACTAGAACTTGTTGCAATATCCTCACCACTAGCCTCATGCCTCTCGCCCTTCTTCTTATCATTCTTGCCAGCTGCATTATTCACATCTACATTACCCTCACTTAGACTAGAAATTACTGCAACATCCTCACCGGTAGCCTCAAGCCTCTCGCTCTTCTTTCTCTTCTGCTTCTCATTCTTGCCTGCTGCTTTATTTACATCTACATTACACTCAATTGGACTAGAACTTGCTGCAACATCCTCACCGCTAGCCTCATGCCTTTTGCTCTTCTTCTTATTTTCCCTACTCAGACTTAGACCCTCCCCTCCTCTGGCAAGCAGTTTATCTTTCGAAGAGGTTTCCTCTTTCAAGGAACTGTCTTCATTCTTTGCTTTCTTTTTCTCACGCTCTTTCCTCCCCACCATTTTGGTAGCCAGGGGAGTAACAACTACTGATCTCCCTTGAACCTTTGCAAATAGCTACAGCTGAGTCAAACCCTCGTGCAAAGCTGAAATCAGCACAAATACATGAAAGAAAAGTCAGATAAGCAGTGATTTGATAGAGGTCCCTTCCACCTAAAATGTTCTAAAAACCAATTCAACCAAAGGGCTCATTCCAATCTCCCCCACAGCATTGACAAATAATAGCATGAATTAAAAAATTAACTAATCAGCCAACTTCAATTTCCTCGAAAGCCCATCTAGCTAATTCACATAGAAACAACACTGCCCTAAGTGCTCCTTTCATAGTTCGGTTGAGGCAGCTTTTGGCCTCAACTGCACTATAACAGTGTTTGGTAAATGAAACAGCCATCCCCACCACACATTGCATTGCAGGCAACACCACTTTGATGCTTATCCAGTTGCAGGTAAAAAATAATGCTTAATAAAGTTATATACATTGCCGATTTTTTCTTAAACAAAATATATATTACAATTTTTTTTTTCCCTTACAATAAGAACCGAATACAATGACAGAAGATTTTTCTTATTCTATCGTGCTAACTTTTCACTTTTTGTAGAACGCCATTTTCATTGTTACTTTGGAAAAAAAAAATAGAAATACTGTTTCTTCATGATTTATTATTTATTGACTATTTTTGAGTGGATTATACAAAAAATAAAACATGTTATTTTTGTGTTATAACACCAATTTAGTTTATTTTATGCCAATTTTGATTTAAGCTACATGATTGTCTACTTTTGTCATTTTAACAACAACATTTCTAACAATAATTTTTACCATAACATAAAAGCTTCTCTTGGAGCTACAGCTACAGCCACAGCCACAACTACAACTACCAAGAGCAAAAGCCGATTGCATTACCAAACTAAGCCTTAAAACAAACACAAAACACAACCTAAACGCCATATGACAAGTATTATTTATCGACATTAACAACTAACATATTATTTGCAATCGCATCTAGAAACAAGAAAAAGAAAAACAGCAAAAAAGTGAGCATATAAAAAAGAAAAGAATCGATAAAAAAAAAAAAAAGAACTCCAAGATTGAACTCATTTTAATCATAGATCTTAAAAGATATTGCCTATATATATATATGAGAATTTGATGGAGTGAAAAGGAGAGGTTACCTGAAAGTTTTAGACTCTGAATTCTCCCTCTCCTTTTTTATATCTCTATTAAACCCTAAACCGATTTGAAGATGAAGTAGCTTGATTCTAGCTTTTTTTCCCCCTTCTCTTAGTAGTAATGGTAAGTCCCTCGTATCAGCGGCATGAGATATCTCCAAAGTCTGAACAAAAAGTAGGGCTAATTTTTCTCGCATATCTCAATCTAATCCCTGATCTATTATCTAATTATCGATTTAGTCCCTATGAAAATTTTGACGCTATGTTTCAATTTGAACCATTTATCCAAATTTATTTATATTTTTTTGGGTTAATTTGCATATCTATTTTTTTGTTTCATGTGCATATTTTACACCTAGTTGCCATATTGTGTAGTATTGTTTTGACTTTGTACAAACACAAATTTAGTTTGTGCGTCTTATATTTAGGATTTTATATATGACTTTAAAACTTTTTCTTCATAATATAACTCAACAATCTCCATGTGATATTTTCTACTCACAGGAAGTTAAGAGATTATAACCACAATCATCATTTGTCTTAGACAAAGCCATAGAATCCTAACCATCGACTCTACTATCATTGTTAGAAGCTCTACACTTAGAGAGGCATTTGGATGAGAAATGGACATCACTTTAATAAAAAACGTTGTTTGATAATAATGAATGAAACGGTGAGAATAAGGACGAAAGTTTTATCTTTACTTTGCTTGATGTTTAGTTGAAAAGAATAAACTGAAAATGAAAATAAAAAATAAGAATAGAAATAAAAATTAAACATAAATTTATTCGCATTGCAATGTGGGAATAAAAATAAAAAGTGAGAATAAAAAATTTTTTCTCTCAAAATAGTGATATATTATTTTTATTTATTGTGTATCGATTACTTTTACGGACATTATCACCCCCACCTCCACGTCGACCACCATCACCATTATTAAAGGTGGTGATAAGAAAATTCGAAATAAAATTATTATAATATTATTCCACTACTATTCCTTCTTTACCACCATTGTCGATGTTGCGAGTGTCGCCATCACCACCACCACCACCATCAATAGTGGAAGTACAAAAATCTGAAAAAAAAATATTATTATTATTATTATTTTTTCATTACTCCACCAAAACCATTACCTTTGTTACATCACCACCACTAGCATTGTTATTATATTGTCACATCCTATAGTGATGATATTAATTTAATTTTAAAAAAATATATTATTATTACTATATTACTATTACTACTACCATCTTTTCTTTCTCTACCACCACAGTCACCTCTATCATTTTTACCACCATCATAGCTAATGAAATTTTTTTTAATCATTATTTTTATTCTTTTTCTATAAAAAGATATTAAAAATTTAATATTTCATTGCGATTTCTTGTCACAATTTCAAATAGGATATGAGAATGCAAATGTCAATTCGATTCTTGTATTCTCATTTCAGATTTTTCGTTCATGATAATCAAATTATACTTAAAAGTCTAGATTAATAAGTAATGAATATATCTTATATATAAATACTTCAAATTTGTTATTTCTAATCGATGTGGGATTTTCTACTCATATGTAGAACTCAACACCTTCTTAATTAGGCTCTTGGTCTAAAATCCTCCAAGTTGTTTTAATAAAAACATCAAATATTCCTTAAAATGATGTCACTTTATTGTACATTATATGCAATTTAGACGAAGAACATGATACAAACATGAACAAGCCATTTATATGAAGATCTAATTCATAAAATGACACATTTTGAAATTTGATCAATCTTGAAAAAATTTAAATGAATTTGTCATTATATCCGTTACGATGTGGTTAAAATAAAATGCAAAATAATCCTTTCAAATAACATTTTTTTTATTTCATATCAACAATAAAATTATGTAATAAAAAAGGAACTTATTTTCATTAAAGATATGGTTTGGTCTAAAAGCAAGTATTAAAAAAAAAAAAAACAAGATTCTTAGAAAAACAAAATTTAGAATTCTACAAAATGGTAATATAACTTCATTTGCAAAGTTCAAGCACACATTTTATGGAAACTACAATATCTCGTTTCTCTCTTTCATCAAAAACCAGCCCGAGCAGCTCTTTTCTGGTTTTTTTTTTTTTTTTTTTTTTAACTCATAATCAATCACCTAATCTACTTCTTATCAAGATAACATCATATTCGGGTTACCCCACTAGTGACCTCGAAGTTCCACATTGGCTTTGTGTTTATATTATAAGTTACTCTTTCTTTTTTCTCTTTAAATGACAATCAGTTTTTTTAAATCAATCGTAAAACTGTTCAAATAAGAAACTACAATAATAAATTCAAAATTTAAATACATATTAAATATGGTAGAAATGGCACCTGAACATTCACTACCAAAGTGTCAAAAGGACGAGATTCAATAAAATCAGTAGTAATACATTCAAGAGACCTATTTTTAAAAAGGATAAAAATTTTGGACATGACTATGGAAGCCTGGCCCAGTGAACTATATTTCTCTTTACTGGGAATATTTCTTGAACCCGCAAATATGAGATATTTATTGGGCTGTTGTCTATCCACGTGGGAGTGTCTTTCCTGGTCTTTTGTCTAAAGGTTTTCTTGGGCTTCTGAAACTTAATGGACTTCCAACAGATTAACATTAGTTTTGTTTTAATGGCGTAATTATTACTAATACACAAAACACATGGGGGGTTTTGAACAGTAATAACACTGTTCATCCTTTTGTAATTTTTAGATTGTTTGGCTTTCGTCCTTAAAATTTTAAAATAAAAAATTTAATCCCTAATTGATGCAATACATGCTTTCTTTTTCCTTTGGTTTTTTTCCTTTTTTTCCCATTAATTTATGTTCTTTTTTTAATTAATTAGATGTTAAAATTTTAAAAAATCAATCGATACTTTTTTCCAGATAAACTAACGATTATATAAAATATACAATATGTTTTTATATTTTAGAATAATATATATTACTTTTATTGTTTAAAATTGATCTTTTTGATTTATTATAAAAAAATTCTCATGAAGTTAATTTTTATTCTTATTTTTTTACATAATTTTATTTATTAATAAATATGATTTATTTTTTCTATGTATGGATTCGAATAAGTTTTTTTATATCATTTTTTATTTGCTTGATCTTATATAATCAAATTTTAAAAATAGAATATATTTATTTTATTTTCTTATTTTTATATAATCAAATTTTATCGAAATTAATTTTATAGTTTTTATTGCACTTTATTAACTTCAATATATATTTTATAATTTAATTTTCTTAAAATATTTTTCTATTTATACTATACATTCTCACCCATTGAGTGTGGTCATGATGTATAAAAATAATAATAATAGAGCCATTGATTTTACTAGAAATCAACTATACATCTACACATACAATACCAACTATTTGCTATTATTTTTTTATATTTTAAAATTAATTTTTTCAAATAAAATAATTGAAATTTTTATAAATAAAATTTTTTATACCAATATTATTCATTATTTTATAAATATATATATATAAATCAAATGTACATATTTAAAAAAATAATCTTCTCATCGGCAAAAAAACTTTATTTGTTAATTTTTATGCAAGTTTTTATATTAATTTTTTATTTATTTCTTCGATCCAATGTTATCAAAAAAAATATTAAGACTTTTTAAAAAAAATTATAAAAATTTGTTTATTATTGGTTTTTATTTAGGAATAAATGCATAAGAAAGAACAAATCATATTTTTTTACTTCAAAATTTATTCAAGACATAAAAAATATATAAATACAAATTTTGATTAAAAATTGTAAAGTTAGATAAAATTTTATCTTCTATAT